ACAGGTAACCAAGCTGTGCAACTCTGTCAAACAGTTGATACGATCTTGAAGTCCCGGTTTACGTAGCACTTCACAGAAACGCATCTTAGCGCATCGCAGTAACTCTCGTGGTTGCCCCAAAACTAAGCCTAACAGGGTGGAAAGCCAGAAATGGTGCTGGTTTCGTAATACGTATGGAGACGAGGCCAGAAAATGTCGGAAACCATGCAGTTTTAACAGGGAAATAGAAACTCGAGAAACTGCCGAGTATCCATGCCTGTTTAATTCCCACGGTAGTGAACGTACGAGGATCTGAGATTCCCTGTTCTCAAAAATCTGCCTTGGCATACAGAAGCCACGTTTCTGCATTGTCTGACTAATATGGCACGAGTTGGATGGTGTTCATAGTCGGCCTAATACGGATAAGCTTGATGGTGTGATCGGACATGAGAAAGTGTAGTAAGTGGATTTATAAATGTTATCGAAATGAAAACAATATACGAATTTAAAATGGAACAGGCTCACCAATTTAGGAATTGTTCTGGTGCGAGCTTGACAGATGCAAAGACCAATCACTAATTATTCAAACTTGCTACATACCCACGAATACGAGACCAAGGAAGAACACGATAGCGTAGTCGGATGGAATGGTATATCTGGGTGGTTGTGGCAAGAGACCGATGCGTTCCGACTAACTGGCCACAGAGTCGATTACGAACGGTGCAACGTAGCACGACAGCGTGCCAAATGGCGAGGATGCTTGATCGTGTGCCTTCAGCGTGGCGAGTCCAGTTAAACTATCAAGGTCAGCATCAATGTTGAATGTCGTCGAACCCTAGGCTATTGGTTTTTGGGGAAGTGTGTGACGCTACAGGTGCTGGTTAATAATGTATTTGCGGTGAACCCAGGTAAATGTCAGACGGGACTCCCTCTGATTTCTGCTCCACACAGTCGCTTGCTCTCGTTGCAGGAATCAGTGTTCCATACATTATGTAGGACAAGAATATCAAAATGATGTGAGACGACATGTCTTATCATATTGGCGTCATCCCGGTTAGGCTGGTTGCAGAGTAATTTTATCTTGCAGTCTGAACGCAGTAAACACAAGGAAACCTAGACTTATCAGATCAACATCCTCCAACTCAGGACCGGAGGACTGGCTGCGCTGGACCCAACCACGTAAGCGCTTATCTCGCGAAAATACACAACCACCGAGCACACTCTAATATGTATGTACAGCAACGTTAGGGGGCTAAGAGGGAAGGTAGCAGAAATGAGGACGCTGCGTGAACATCAGCACTCCGACATCATATTCATCACCGAATCCTGGCTCCCACCGGACATCTCTGACGAAGAGATGCATGTTACTGGCATGGAACTCTTCCGCAGGGACAGGGAACATAGAGCAGGAGGAGGAGTGGCTCTCTATGTAAACTTTCGTTTAAAGGCAAGGGTGGTTAACGATACGGCCTTGACCCAGCTCCCAGAATCTCCATGGTGCTACTTCACTCCCCACCGTACCAAATACCTGCTTGGAGTCATATATCGGTCTCCCACCAGCCCCCCTACACATAACAGAAATGGTCATCAAGGCGACCTTAACGACTTCCTCTGCAACTTAACATTCCGTAGTCACTGCCGGTGACCTCAACACCCCGTCCATCCTCTTAGAGACGGAAGGGAGACGCATCAGATCCTTCAGCCAGAAGCTGAAGGATGCACTTTGGACTGCTGGCCTCTCAGAGAAAGTGAGTGATGCCACACACGGAAACGCATCGCGCCTTGACTACGTTCTGACGAACGATTAACTTCTCATTGAGGACGTTTGCATCCTACCTCCCCTTGGCCTCAGTGACCACGCTGTAATCACCTTCTCCATGATTACTAGGGAGGCTCTGCAACTGGAGACGCCCAACACCTTCCCTTGCTACAGCAAGGCCAACTATGCGACCATGAGGGACTACCTCATGAATGCATCATGGCCGGTGGACTGGACTCATCTCACAATAGATGAACACTGGTTGGAGGTGAAGAAAATAATCACTGGGGCCACCAGTCACAGTATGCCAGAAGTAACACACAGACAAACAGTGAGAACCTTATGGCTAAAGAGTGGGACAGAGAGGCATATCCGGAGCAAGAAGCAGGTTTGGTTCAGGTGGCGTACATCACGCAGGGAGCCTGACTTCTTGAACTACAGGAGGGTTCGCAACCGCTGTAGCATTAGAGTGCGTATCGACAGATTTTCCTGTAAAACAAACTTGGCAGAGAGGTTACAAAGCAATCCCGAAAACCTGTACCGCTCCACGTCAGGAAGAAAGTCGACCAGTAAGGGAGTGAATCTTGTCATAGGCCATGGCGAGAGTAAACTAGGCAGTCTAGAGATTGCCGAGCTTTTGAGCTCACACTTCCAAGCCCAACTCAGCACTGACACAAGATCCACACCGACTCGCCACGACACCAACCAGGTCGTAAATAACGAATACCTCTGTCACATCTCAATTACGGAGAGAAGTGTTCGAGAAAATATCTAGGCTACGTTCAGGCAAGTCCCCTGGCTGTGATAACCTAAAACCAGTGGTTCTATAAGCCTGCTCAGAGGTGCTCACCAAACCACTTCGCAACCGTTATGGGCACTCAGGAGTCTCGCAAACTTCCTAAAGAATGGAAGAGAACCATCTTGTCACCCACCCTGAAGGCAGGAGATGGAAAAAGCCCTGGCAGCTACAGGCCAATTGCTCTACTCCCTATTGTGTCGAAAGTGTTGGAAAGTCTGGTAGCCGACACCGTCTGGGAATTCCTCAATGGTGAAAACACTGTCCATGCTGCTCAGCATGGCTTTCGGAGTGGTCGCTCATGTGCCACCAGCTCACCAACCACCTGGGACGACTGAACACGAAGCTGGGATAACAGAAAACCGGTACATGTTGTACTTCTTGACCTAGCCAAAGCATGTGATAGTGTCCCACCTACAGTACTGCTTCACAAGATCATGTCAGCTGGTATAAGTGAACCCCTCCTCTCTTGTCTCAAGGAGTACCTGGAGGGGAGGCAGTTCTGCACTAAAGTAAACAGAATAAGGTCAGAGTGGAGGCCCTCGGCGTCAGGCGTATCCCTAGGAGCAATCCTAGGACTGCTTCTGTTAGTCCTGTTTGTCAACGATCTACCAGATAAAATATCCTCACCCATCCTCCTCTCCGCTGACGGCATAAAAATTTGGAGAGTGGTAAACGAAGAAGCTGATTGTACAGCACTGCAACATGACTTGCAGCAACTCGAGCTCTGGCCGTCGGAAAATGGCCTGAGCTTCAACCTGGAAAAGTGCAAAGTAATGCACATCAGTAAAAATGAAGCAGGTACGACCGACTTCCAGTACATGTTGAGCAACCGTGCCATCACCAGAGTATCCATGGAGAAAGATTTGGGGCTCAACTTCTCCGACACCTTGGACACCAGCTCCTACTACTAAGGTATGACAACCAGGACGAATGCCATCCTACACGTTTTGCGTAGACAGCTTGGCGCCCTCACTCCCGAACTCTTCCTCACCATTTTCAAATCCTATGTGCGGCCGCATCTGGAGGTCTTTAACACGGTGTCTCCTCCAACACTCAAGAGAGACTCCAATCTCCTTGATAGAATACAAAGAACTGCAACAAAATGTGTTGTGGGGCTAAGGGGAAAGACGTATCCTGAAAGACTTAAACACCTAAACCTATTTACCTTGGGTTAATGTAGGAAAAGGGGTGACCTTATTGTGGCACGCAAGATCGCCCATCAGGCAGATCATGCAAACAAATCAATTTTGCCTGCAACTCAACCATCTTCACGAGGAAACCCCATTAAGATAGCACACCAGAGAACCAACACCATACTCAGGTCCAAATTTTTCTCCCTAATAGTATGTGCTTTATGGAGTGCCTCACCGCAACTTATCGTTATAGCTCCCTCAGTCGACTCATTCAAGAGGCGATTGGACAGTTATGTCACCTCGCATATACTACCACGGACGTACTCAGGTAGTCACCAACCTCACTAGCCCCCAACTCCCTCCTAACTATCACTCACTATCTCCCTCCTTAATACACCCACATTACCTACTAATTCTTCTGTAGGAACCAAACCCCAGCAACCATTCACGCAATTCCCAATTACTTTTCTTTCGCTCTTATTTCCCCTTTTCACCCCTCCTTTTCTTCTCCTTCCATTCTTTTCCCCTTTCTCTTCGCTTATTTATTATTATTTTTCATCTTTCTTTCTTCGCTTTTTTCTTCTCTCCTCATTCTTTTACCACTAGCTTACTTGTCTCTTTCAGGTACCTACACAGACAGGAGTCACGTCAGTTCCCCAAACGTCTCAGCAACCCGTAGCTCCCCAATCACTCTGCAAATTACAACTTACTAACCCACAAAACAACCACCTCACCGAAGCTAAAAGCAAGAAAGCAGAGAGGATTTCCTCATCCACTGCAGGAGTGAACCGAACAACTCGAACCAAGCCCTAAGAACTAGACGCGAGAGATCAAAATCTACCAGTTTTCTACGCTCGCACTATCAATATGGGATTTTGGATATTGGAACCTCATAGACCATAATTATTCGATCGGCTTTAATAACAGTCGAGTGAAATAACATCCAAAGGTTCTACCAGTGCTGAATTCGTAGTCAACTTCATACATTTCCTTCCAGGTTTAGCCAGTCCCTTATCCCCCTACTGGTCTTCTGAGGGCGGATGGCTGATTTACCATATCACAATGCATTAAGGACCTGAAACTGCTCCGTAACACTAAGAAGAAAGCAGAAAAGTATCAACCAGTCTATACTGGCTGGTAAAACGGGCATTGAACATTGAAAGTATATATTGTTGTGTGAGTTTATATTTATTCTCCCCAAGGTAATTCCAAACACTACTGTTTCAAATGGATGAACTTCGTCGCGTATTTCGTGAAACTGTTTCACTTATTGAAAGTAGCTTTTGGTCGAAAGAGGCTTTAATTATTTCATTTTGCTGAATTCTAAAAGTAACAAAGAATGCAAATGAAAATCAATGTTTTGAAGTTGTTAATCCATTCAAAATATTCATGGAGATAAAGAAGCATCATGGTATACTAAAGCCGTGTGTATTGAAATTGTACAAGTTCAGTAACATAACTATCCTACCATTGTCTAAACATGAATTCATATGTAAGTGAAGTTTTTGTATCCCAGTCCTTTAGCGTGACATATAAAGTTTAAACTTTCAGTCTCAAAATTTCAAACCGTATATCCGTGGTAGTAATGAACAAGACCAAAAGCTCTGTTTAATTTGAGGTGTTAACATTGACTAATAGTCTTATATCGACAAGACACTATGCCACATACAAACGCTAGGTCTCCTGAAATCAAATGAGACTCAGATTCAGATTAGTTGTTTTGCGGATAGGAGGCTGGGAGCCTATATTGATCCTTTTTCAGTAGATTTCTGTGCTTGTCCAATCCTCTTTCGAACGGTTCAACTGGTGATGCGGACGCCACTTCTTCCGGGGGTCGGTTCCAGGCGTTGATTACTCGACACGAGAATCAATAATCTGCGGAGACCATGTTGATTCTTTGCTTTTGTAGTCTCCCTCTATGTCCACTGATTTGTTCCGACCTATTGAGAAGGGGAAGAGAAGATAGATCAGGTCTGAAGTTATTTCTTGTAATCGTGAATAGCATGATTAAGTCTCCCCTGTGTCTACGGTAGGACAAAGTGAAGAGGTTCAGCTCCTCAAGTCGGTCATCATAGGTGAGGCCAACTATCGCAGGGATCATACAATTGACTGCCCTTTGAACTCTTTTTAGAAGATCTGCGTCACCTTTCAGACAAGGATTAGCCGCCTGTGTACAGTTTTCTAATTTAGACCTAACTAAATATGTGTATAAGATGGCGAACATGTCACCACTTATTTTTGTAAAAGTTCCACTTTGTGCCCAGAGAGTTCTAAAACTCCGAGCTGCTACCAGTCAACAACGTGTCATGGTTTTCAAGTCATAACTCACTGTGACTCCTAGGTCATTGTAGGTCAGCACCAACGGTAGAGGAGTCCTATCAATATCTTGGGTGTTGCTGTGTGTGCCCCGACTGCATGCTCACTCATTTACCTGTAATAATAAGCATCAATGCACCACATCTCTGACCAGGCAAACAAGCTGTTCAGGTCTGTCTAAAGCACACGTATATCGTCATCGTTCCTAATTTTCCGCCAGATTTTCACATCAGTATAGCGACCCTTAGATTTCTCGATATTTGACAGCTCATTTACGTCTAGGAGAAACAGCAGGGGGTGCAGGACTGTGCCTTGTGGTAATCCACTCTCTACCGAACTCCATGTGGAGAGTTGAGAATTGATCCTTACTTTTTGTCACCTACCAACAAGGAACTCTTATCCATGCGAGCAGACTGCCAGTGATTCCAAAACTTCTCAGTTTTCTGAGCAACCTGGAATGAGGTGCCTTGTCAAACGCCTTACTAAGGTCAATGAAAATGAAATCTACAGGTATCCTATCATCTTTAGACTTAACCCAACTTTCTCTAACTGTGAGGAGGTTCGTCAAGCAAGAGAAATTTCTACGAAAGCCATGCTGCGAACGAGATAATAGAGTGCTGCTCTCTAGGTGGACTGTGATGGCTTTCTTGATTACTCTTTCTAGGATTTTTACTACAGTAATAGTCAAACTCATCGGTCTTTAATTAAATGGGGGCTACGTAGAACCTGTCTTGTGAATAGATGTTACTATGGTATCCTTCCAATCATAGGGGAGTATTCCCTCATTGAGAGATAGTCTGAATATAGTAGTCAACAGGCCAGCTACATAGAGCTTAAACTCTCTCAGGAGCCTTGAGTGCAGCTCATCCAGTCCCGTTGATTTTCGCACGTCGAGATTACTCAATATCCGAAATACATTATTGTAATCGATATCTACAGAGTTCATTCTGCTGGATGTCAATGCTTCCACTGTTGGATAAGTGTCCACAGAAGATTCTTGTGTGAAGACCTCAGGAGAATATCCAGCCACGGCTTTGCTTCTTCCCTGTCGTGCTTAATCAGTGAGTTTCGGTCCCATTGATAAGGGCGTGGATACCACGACACATCCTATTTCTACAGTTCATATGGGAAAATAACCTCTTCGGATGTTGGAATGCAGCCTTGGAAAGACGTGTTTCAAAGTATATTAGAGACCGTTGAATAGCAGCGATACATTTATTTTGGGCTTCTTTGTAACGCTTCGCCACTTCAGGTGTGTCGAGGTGGGTGGCAAGACTCCGAAACGTTTTTAACGTTGTAGTAAGATTCGGATTTCGTGGTTAATCCACGGAGAACAATGTTTCCGTCCCCACGGGACCGTCAACGGAATGAACGGTTGGGTCACTCGTGCATATAACTATTTTAAGGAGCACCACGCACCTTCAAATGACTCTTCTGGATTGAATATCCAGTCCTTCTAAGTGGCTGCCAGGTTAATAGCTTCCATATTCGCTTTTCATATGTTGGGTCTAGCTGGAGCATCGGCCTGGTGCAAGAAGTCTGCTGTGAATCTGAAAATGATCACAACGTGATCACTTTTATCAAGGGGTGCTAGGTGCCGGATAAAACATACATCATCTGTGTGTGAGAGAGAGAATACTAAGTCTAGGACTGATAGAGGATGCTGATTATCATATCTGGTCGCAATCCTAATGTGCTGTATGAGGACTAAAGAAATTGATCAAACAAGTTACATGGGGCTTTTGTTGTTAGTCTATCGCAGTTAACTGATGGTGTGTTGAAGTCTCTTCCAACTAGGCGTCGGCATTTATCTGTCCAGAGGGTCAGCTTACTCAGGAGGAAGTCTGCTGCCTCACATTCAGGGCTTCGATATATCACAATTACGTTAACATCTTGTCCCTTGGATTTTAGTCGGCAGCGCAGTATTTCACATGTCCCACTTTCATATACAACTGTTTCTATGGCTTTTACAGTTAAGGTATTCTTAACGTAAAGGATGACACTATCAACGTTGCGTGCTATTCTGTCACTTCTAAAGGGGACGAATCCTCGTAAGTGTGTTTCACAGTCACTGGTCCAAGAAGAGAACCAAATTTCTGAGATAGCAGTGATGTTAGGACTTTCGTTGCTTATCACATTACTAAGCTCAGTCCACTTGTTTAAGAGACTACGTGCATTTGTGTACACGACAACAAAACAACCTAAATGAGTTTCCGTCCTATCCATAGAGGCTTCAGCATCATTTGTTGCTGAAACCTCACTGCACGAAAACCCACTACTTTCAGATCTTGCTCTCTAGCTGCTAATCTAAAATATAGTTCTGCTTCTGGTTGTCTGAGGGTGTGAAGCGTTTGCAGTTGTCGTGGAACCAACACTCACATTCGCTACACCTCATACCAGAGGCCACTGTGAAGTGAGTGGCATCCAGCCTTACCACAAGCATTTTTACGACACATTTGGCTCACTGTGTAGCAGAAACTAAAGAAATTTACCCTGTAAAAGTTTCTGTCTCACTTTAATCGAATACTATTACGATTAGAGCAAAAATACAACAGCCTTTGATGTGTAAACACAAAAAATGCCAAGAGTCTAGCTGAACGTGAAAAGTCACTCCCCTTTTCAAACAGCGTACGTTGAAATGCTTGAATACAAGTTTGTTGTCGAACAGGAATGCGTTTTCTATTGCTTTTTCGTGCCAATGAATCAGGTTTAGAGGCTGAACATTGTTGAGGACATGTAAAAGTTGACTTTCATCATAGACTAGCTATCCATTATAGGGAACTGTCTTAATACAGTTTATCTTTATTCGACATAGCGAATTCTTCCAATAAACTTCTAAGAGTTATGAAGATATTTATCTTGAACGAAGTCATTTTTCTTTCTATAACTACTGAACATTCCTATTTGACAGAAATCATCTGTACATAAGGGGAACTCGTGTGTAGAAAAGTTGGCACAGCTCCATGAGGTCTCACCTAACCCTTTCATAATTTAATCGGAACAAATTTTGCTTTTTGGTTCTGCTTGTGTAGGAAAAGTCACAGAGCCTCTGCATCCTTTGAGTATTAATTGAAAGAAATTATTTGAAGAAGCGTTCACTGCACTTCAAATACATTTAGTTCGCGTAGAGTAGTTGTGTGTTCCCAGAGTGAACAGATAGGTGTCAGTCATATGTTTCTTGTGCTGTTCCTTGTAAATCGATCAAATATTTCATGAAGAGCCATAAGTATGATGTCACGGCCTTACACATATGACTAAGATTAGTCAGGTTATCATATACTCTTACTCTTGTGCTGCATCCTTCAGAAGCACCTATCAATGTTCTCTTTCTTGGAGAATAGTATTTTGGTTGTAAAGTATACACTGTGCCTCACTTTGAAGTTATTCATATCCAATTCTAAATGAATTTTCAATACAAACTATGATGCATTTTTCAAAGCAACCTGTAGTAGATCATGACCAGTTTAATTCTTTAATAGTTTTGGAATTGTCCTGGTGTAAACTTGGCAGACGCAGAGGCTAATCATTAATTATTCGAACTTGTTATATATCCAGGAATACGAGACCAAGAAAGGACACAACAGCGTAGTCGGATGGAATGGTATATTTGGGTGGTTGTGGCAAGAGACTTATGCCTTCCATCTAACTGGCTAGAGAATCGATTACGAACAGTGCAACGTAACACGACAGCGTGCCAAATGGCGAGGATGTTTGACCGTGTGCCTTCAGCTTCGTGAGTCCAGTTAAACTATCAAGGTCAGCATCAATGTTGAATGTCGTCAAACCCTAGGCTATTGATTCTGGAGAAGTGTGTGACTCTACAATAGTCTTCTTAAGGTCAGTAAAGCGGTTCGTCGAATACAATTCCATGAGTGTTCCATGATGTGGAGTCTGTGGAGTTAGTAACCCTGTTTACGTTATTCAAGCCTTAGAGATTTAATCTCTTCATCAGCACCTACTGAATGTGGTTTGCCACAAACTTGATGGATTTTGTTTTTGAATAAAATAGCATGTCAAAGTCTAAATGACCGTTCCCTTATTTCAGTCTTTAGAATGTAGACCATAAGAGTAGAATAAGGAGATGAAGATGGAGAATAATTTTGGCATTATAGTTTTTATGCTGAGAATCGGATTCACACTAAACATCTGTTTCAAGCAAATCACAGTCAGTTTTTACGGGAAAT